ATAATGTTTTTATATCAATTGATAAACATTTAATTACATTAACCATCAATAAAAATCCTTTTAGATCTGTAAGGATAAAAGAAAATTGTGCTATATTATTTAAAAACTTTGATAAAATTGTAGCAAATAAATTTACTGAATGCAACGAATTATGGAATGTAATGCACAATTTTTTTACAATGTATACGAAAACTCATGATAATTTTAATCATAGTCTTACATTTCTATACAACATAATTAGATTTGATAACAAAACCTATTCTTTTTTGCTTTTAAAAATGGTATCAGATAAGAATTTGATTCATTTTTCATTAGTAATCATTATATCATATTTATTAAGTATCATATCTCAAGACGAAGCACATTATCTTTTAGAGCACGGTGTAGATGAAAAGCCTAAAACACAAAATTGTATTTTCAACGTCGATCTTGTTGATACTTTGATGAAATATAATTTTTGCAATAATTCGCCAATTTTTTTGTTATTTAAATTGTTGTTAGTAGATGCTGCTTGCCAAGAGCTAGCTCAACAAGATAATGAAATAATTAAAAGTCATAAAGCCTTTGAAATTATTTCATCTCTATGCGAATTTGCTTTTTTTGATAAAAAAGAGATTAGTTTTCTTGATTCAAAAAAATATGAAAAATCTTTAAGTTTATTCTGGTGTTTGTTTTATGAGTTAGATCCGTTATACGAATTACGAGATGCAATATTTTTTAGCACTTTGTATGTCATAAACAGGTTTATATTAAAAAATGACAAATTTTATTTTTATAGTAATAGTTTTATCAACTATACTGCGAAAGATGAAGTAATAATGAAGTTAATCTTTTATGATTTTAATTAAAATAATAAATTTGAAATTTTATGACAAGAAGTTAATAAAAATTTAATCTTTTTTTTTATAAATTTTTAAATACATATTTATTGTTAATTTTTTTAGATACTGTTAGTGTTAACCAAAAAGGTTTTTATTGATAAAAGAATTCTTTTGTAAATATTGAAGACTAATAATTTATGAGATCTTGATGTATCACGAATAGAATACTTATAGTACCAACCAAAGCCGTGTTTACACTAAAGTTGTGTTGTTTCAATAAGTTAATTTTATGAAGGGTTATGGTAAAACAAACAAGAGCAAGCAGAGAAGTCTGCAAAGTGAGTACTTTGATACTCCAAACAACAATTTGGATACAGAAATATATTTAAAAGACAAAATTAAGCATGTTTATGCTGATGGTAGCACTCCCAGAGTTTGCTACAAGAAAGATCGAGAATTACAATATTCTCTCAACAAATTAAAAATTCTTTCTTAAAGAATTAATAAAAATGATTTTCTTGACAGGTCGAGAAAAGAAAAAAAGCAAGATCTAGATGATCTTAAAAAATATATTTCTAG